TGGTTCATTTTTCAATTGGGTTATTTTCTTATTGTTGAGTTTTAAGTCCTTTGTATATTTTGGGTAACTAGTCCTTTGTCGGATGTGTCTTTTGCAAATATTTTCTCCCAGTCAGTATTTGTCTTCTTCTTCTCTTGACATTGCCTTTTGCAGAGAAGTTTATTTTACTGAAGTGCAGCTTATCAATTATTTTTTTCATGGATTGTGCCTTTGTTATCTTACTAAAAAGTCATAGATATACCCAAAGTCATCTAGATTTTCTTCTCTGTTATCTTCTAGGAATTATATAATTTTTTGTTCTACATGTAGGTTTATGATCCATTTATCATAATGTTTGTGAAGGGTGTAAGGTCTGTGTCCCAATTCATTTGTTTTGCATGAGGATGTCCACTTGTCCCCCCACTATTGTGGGAAAGACTCCCTTTCTCTCCATTGTGTTGCCTTTGCTCTTGGTCAAAGATCAGTTGACTATATTTATGTGGGTTGCTGGAAGATTCTTGAACTGTCTTCACACTATCACCTGAGCCTTTATTATTTTTATAACACCTTTATTGAGATATAATTCACATACAAGCCCCTTTTAAAATTACACAGTTCAGTTTGTGTGGACACATTTTAATTCTTTTAGGTAGATACCTAGAAGTGGAATTGCTGGGTCATATGGTGACCATTTAACGTTTTGAAGAACTGTCAAAATATAATCCAAAGTAGCTGCACCATTTTACATTCCTACTATCAGTGTACAGTATGAGGATTCCAATTTTTCTACATCCTTGCCAACACTTGCTACCGTCTATCTTTTATAGCCTTCCCAGTGGGTATGAAGTGGTATCTCATTGTGGTTTTGATTGGCATTTCTCTAATGACTAATGATGCTGAATATCTTTCATGTTCTTATTGGCCATTTATATATCTTCTCTGAGGAAATGTCTATTGACATCCTTTGTCCATTTAAAAATTGGGTTGTCTTTTTATTGTTGTTATCCCAATCTTTACCTGGCTAGCATAACTTTCTTTCTTTATATTCCCCATTCTCTGTTTTCACACACACTATGATATAGTCTTATCAAAGCTTGACCTGTTTGGCCTACCTTCCCATAAGAATGTTGATTCTGAGAGCAGAAATGATGTCTTATTCACTATTTTGTTCACTGTTGGTCCAATACTTTATTATACAGTTTGTTTTCTGACACATTCCAGGCACTTAACAAACATTTGTTGAATTATATTTAATTTGATGTTCACATTGTTTCTCCTGTTATCAGGGGGGGTGCTGTCTCCATTGAAAAGGGTTTAGGGGTCACCTCCTCTCTGACCCCTTGCACTCCTGTCTCACACTGGTTGAAGGTTGTTCGTGGAGATATTAGTTGTGCATTTCTGAGTTATGTACAGAATGACTGCAACTTTCATAGTGTAGGAGGATCCCTGTGGTGAAACACATGTGAAATGCACGCATGGCACTGCTGAGACAAGGGAACCCAGCGAATTGCTTTTTAAAATACAATAACATCTGGTGATCCCTCTGCCTGGAGCTTACTCCACCACCACCATCACTCTTCAGCTGCCTGGCTACCTCCTGTTCATCCTTTACATTTTGGCTCAAATATGACATTGACTCCTAGAAATCACTAGGCTGGGCTGACCCTCATGTGTGCCCTGGCATCCAGGGTCCACTCTGCTATGTTACTTACCACACTATATTTGCCTTTATTTGCTTGCTGCCCCTGCCCGCCCCCCCCCCTCCTGCCTGGCACCCCCAAGGCTATAAACCTTTTTGTTGCCTCAACAACTAGCATATATTAGATGCCCAATATATACTTACTGGAAGAAAGGAAGGAAAGATAAAACAGTTTGGAAGAGTAAAAAATAGAATTAGATGGTGTTTTAGTCTGCTTGGGCTGTTGTAACAAAATAGCATAAACTGGGTGGCCTAAACAACTTATTTCTTATAGTTCTGGAGGCTGGGAAGTCCAAGATCACGGTGCTAGTAGATTTGGTGTCTGGTGAGAGCCCTTTGTGGTTTGCAGATGGCTGCCTTCTTGCAGTGTCCTCACATGGCTGAGAGAGACATCTTTCTTGTGTCTCTTCTTCTAAGGGCACTAATTTCATTGATGAGGGCTCCACCCTCACAGCCTAATTACCTCCCAAAGGCCCCACCTCCAAGTACCATCATATTGTGGGTAGGGCTTCAACATACGGATTTTAGGGAGACATAAACATCCAGCCTGTAGCAGATGGAAAATAGAAAAATGGATAGAAAAAGATAATAGGAAAAAAGATGGAAAGAAAAGTACAAATTCCAAAAAAACATGGTAAGGGAAACAAGTAAAATGTCATTCTGAGTTACAGTCTATGTAATAATGGATACTTGGAGTGAGCAATGAATCAGTGAATGAACGGTAATTTAAAGCTGACCTTTGAAAACATGGGTTTGATCTGCACAGGTCCACTTATACATAGATGTTCTTCAATTCCTTATGATTTTAATAACGTTTTCTTTTCTCTAGCTTACTTTATTGTAATACAGTATATAATACACAAAACATACACACTATGTGTTAATCAGCTGTTATCTGTAAGGCTTTTTTGCGAGTCTAAAGTTAGACACAGATTTTTGACTGGGCAGGGGGACGGTGCCCTTAACCCCTGCATTGCTTAAGGTCATCTGTAGTTCTACATGTTTCTTCAAAGACAAGAGAACAGGAGAAGGCCAAGAAGCTGAAAGCCAGCTTGTTGAGATTTTCCTGGAGGGCTGTGGTTGAGGTTTAAAATCCAGCTAGCTCGGCTCATAGCTGCTGAAGACATAACTCAGTGTGTTTTTTATGATGCACTTGTAAAGATCAGGCACTGTGCTCTCCACTATGGGAACTTAAGTCTATTCAGACACAGACATACATTGACTCCTATCGACTGGGTGAACTAACATACCCAACAATCAGTGCATGCAAATCACTATGCCAGGTGCATAAACTTACCTTGCTGAACCCACTGAAGAGCCCTGCATGGATGGGTAGACAGGTTCAGAGATGTTAGGTAACTGCTTATGTTTCTCATTAAGTCCTGACACAAACACGCTAGCCCAGGGGTCGGCAAACTGCGGCTCGCGAACCACATGTGACTCTTTGGGTACGTACATGTGGCTCTGAAGTAAAATTGAAAATGAAAATAAAACTATCATGGTTTCATTTGTAAAAATTTTAAAGGATATTATTCACATAATGGTGATTTCATTTGTTTTATAGGTCTCACAAAACTTCAAGAGAAAGGATTGGCTCTTCCATCTCAAAAGTTTGCCGACCGACCCCTGCTCTAGCCTAACTTCTGACCTTTTTTCCCCACTATTCACTTAACTTGCTTTCACATTCATCCTTTTGTTCTTTCAATCAACAAAACTGACTAACTCATATGGGCCAGGTACCATGTTAGGCACGAGCAATAGCTACTACCCCAGGAAAGACCCCGGTCACAGTCCCTGCCCCCAGAGAGCGGAACATTTCTGAGAAGACAGGAAGCAGGTAATGCGAGGTGTGTGAAGGGTTACAAAGGTGGAAACGTGGGGTGCTGACCTGGCCTAGCAGTTCAGGGTGACCTCTCTGAAGTGAAGAGTCATTAGGAGTTGGCAAAGCTGGAGCTATAGGGGAGGAAAAGTGAGCCAGGCAGATGGAACAATATATGCAAAGGCACATTCAAGGATCTGGGCTGCAGAGGTCAGTCGGGGGCCAAATTACAAACAGCTTTGTACGCACACATCGGGGACTTAATCCTAAAGCAATGAGAAGCCATAACTTCTAATTCACGAAATTCCTTCCTGACAAGAGGAAGAAACCACTTAATTCTAAGCTACTTCATTTTAATACCTACCAAAAGACTACAGGGATAGTTTGAATTAAATTTCCCGGTGTGCAGCAGCAGATGTGGGTTACTATGGGGTTGGATTCCACAGAACCCAAGTAATGGCTGCTTTCCTCCAAACTCCCAATCACCAAGCCCCGCTGCCCAGCATCACTGTGAATTGTCCCTAGGAGGGACTGCTGAGCACTTGGGAAGACAGGTCCAAGTCTGGCCCTCGGGCTAACACCTGCATTCGTGAAGTTAGTTATACCGTACCAGTTATGATTTCTACAATCTGTCTGTCCTGTGCCCCAGGATAACTGCGTCCTCCCTTCCTCCAGCTCTCAGGCCGTCTCCATGGGGCACACTGCTCCATCTCCCTCTTCTCTCCTCTGCAGCTGGCTGCATCCCACAAAGAATCAGAAGAACATCCCTTGTTAAATTCCGTGCATCAAGAAAGGGAAAACCCTGCTCACAAAACTTTTATACCACATACTAGGTTTACTGGGGTGACCACTTTGTAAGTTATATAAATGTCTAATCACTATGTTGTACACCTGAAACTAACAGTATACTATTGCATGCCAACTGTAATTGAAACAAATTATTTAAAAATTCTTATATCAGGGAGGCAGTGTTCTGGGAAGAGTATAAGAAAGCCTCTACAGTTAAGTAAATCTAGTAAATAAAGTGGCTGCCTAGTGAAATGGGCAAGACAGCCTGCAAGCCTGTTAAGACAACAGAGAAGAATGGAGACATATGGAAAACACAAATCACTGATAGTAAAATAATTTTATTTAGTTTTTTGGGTTTTTTTTTTACAAAAGGTAGCATTTTACATATAAATTTAGACTCAAGATTACAGTGTATGTTTGCCAAAAGAAACATCCCTGAAGGAGGGACAGGCTCAGAGCTCGAGTGAGCACAGGGAAGCACACCCCACGGGAGGGAGTTCAAGTGGAAGCACTTTCTTTAAAACTTCCTAATGGAGTTCCCTGTGCGTCAGCTCTGCCGCCAGAGCCTGCGGCTCATTAGACAGCCCACCCCCAGCACTCTGGGGCAGCAGCTTTTAGCTCATGGGAATAGGAAACGTCTCTAGGAATGAAAGCACAAAGGTCAATGATCCAGACTTCCCACAACAATCATTATTTATCTGCAGCAACAACATATGACAGGTGAAGAGTTTATTTTTATAGTTCAAAAATTCTTTTAAGGAGGGCTAGAGAACACAAAATTCAGTCATAAAGAGAATGTATACAATTAAATGAGCAAAAACAAAAAATGATTCTCTCCATATTACAAACGTCTCTATAGGATAAGGCCCAGGGAAAAGACCCGCTCAAATCTGGGACTCCTTTCCCATATAGTGTTTGGCACAACCCACAAGCTGTCATGAGCCTGACGGGACTGAAGGTCGGCTGGAAGGTTGCTGGAAGTGGTCCCAGGACTTTTCTGTCTGGCTTGAACATAGTCTACACAAAAGGTGTCGTAAGCTGCTCACATCAGGCCTAACTATGGGCACGCTATTTCAGGAAAGTTAATCTCAGGGAGAAAGAAGTCCAGACGAACTAGGTTGCCCACAGCCACAGGCTCTCTGTCATCCTCTTATGGAAGATTAAATCCACTGGCTGCCCCAGAAGTCAGTGGGATTCTATCTCCTAGGGAAGGTGAAAGAAAGCTGGAGAACTTTGATTTCTGCATCTCACAGCCAGGAGGGCAGGAGACAAAGATGACCAAGGATGCTTTCTAAGTTACTCTTTGTTCCACACCACTGGGCTCCTGATGAACAATATTGAGAAGGAGAACTGGTGTGCTAGTAACCATGGCAGCCTAGAAATTGGCCTTTAGGCAGAGGTACTGGGGCAAATAAATGTACCCCAAATCCAGTTTTCAAAATAAAAACTTCCTGCAGTTATGACACAATACTGTGCAGTGAACAGCTAGGAACTGTATGTATGCTGCTATTTCTGGTTGAAGCCCTGTCCCGCTCTTGGCTAGCCAGAGCTGAGAGGTGACACATAAGGAGTTGTCTGTAGCTAGAAACCAGGCACCTTCGTCACACATGGCCTAGGGCAGTGACACAGTCACCACTCAATTGAGTATGCAAGGCCCCCGAGCTTTGGTTCCAAGTAAAGGTTTCATCTCACCCCAAACGTCAAACCAAGCTCTATCTCTGAGCCTACTAATGCACAAAACTTGTGATTAGGAATCTCGAGGAGGAATCTCTGGTTGAGTGGCAAGCTACATGTCTCAGCAGGCCACCAACTTGACTGTAGGAAAACAAAAAAGTGCAAATCTATCAAGTAAATGGTTGCTCAAGTGGAAGATCATTTCCTGGGGAACTTCAGCGGACTAGCTGCTAATCAATCACATGGATGAGTGCTGAGACCGGACCCTAAAGACAGCCTGGGTCCCAGGTGTAATGAGTCTTCGTTACACTTACCACATCCTGGCCGGCTCCTCTCTGGCCTTCTCTCTCTTGAATGGCAGAGCACACATTTCCCCGGGGACCATTGTAAACATTATTCAATAGATCTCAGCTTAGAAAACACAGCTTATTATGTATTTAGTGTTTAACATTCCAGTGCAGGCAGTACCGTAGCATCAGACTTTCCCTCATTCATGAGTACCAGTTTAGAAAGGAACACACAGCATACTTGATAAAACTGTGGCTGAAAAGACCATTTGGGTGTCAGACAGCTGGCTCTATCCTGGAATCAGCTGAAAAGCCAGGACTACCACAGGAGAGGCAGAACAGACGAGCAGGGAGAGTCGTAAAACCATTGTTCCCATTTAACCCCTTGGGCCACATCTTGATATGGGAGAACATTTCCACATCTTGCATCAACCTATGCTCTCCTTCTTTTGGATGGGGCTCTCTCCAGAGGCTTCCAGAGCCTCCTTAGAGAGGAGAGGAGAGCTTTTGCTTCCAGTCCTAACATCTGAATATTTCAGAGCACACGAGGAGTCCACGAACATGCTAGGGATGCTGCTGCCAAAGTAGATCTTACTGTTAGAAGCAATGGCCTGGTATCTTTGGAGCTCCAGATACTCCGGGGTCAATTTGTGCTGTGTGGGGGCAAAGAAGAGCAAAAACATCAGGACACTGTGGCGTACAGTCATCTCTCTTTCCTCACACACATTTCCCTCCGGCTCTCCTGAGTATCATTACTCAACTCGGAATCATTGCCAATGACCCTCTCTCACTGTGAAGTGTGGCTATCCCCTTAACAGCTATATTCTGGACTTGAAGATCCTTCAGCAAGCTCCTGTCCTCATGTAGAAGTTGTTCATTTTTTTTAATTTAAAAGAAAAAAAAAAGGATTGGGGAGGGGGGGTTGGGGAACAATGAATGATAACTCCCCAAGTAGTGATAATTACATTTCTATAGTGACTTGGGGCTGATAAAGTGCTTTCATAAATACTTTCTCATTTCATCTAGCTGAATTCAACCTGGAATCAACCTGGAATTTCTGCTGGTTCTCTTGAGAGGTGAACAGGTCAACGGATGAGAGTGGCAGAGTGTCAAAGAAAGGGCCTGGGCTCATAACCTTATAATCAACGATCTGTGATTCTGCTTTTCTTGACCACATCCCAGGAATGGAAAAGATCTCAAGAAATCACCTGGCCTGGCCTCTTGCCTCTTCCCAGAAGCTGGATGTTTAAACTGTGATGGACAGATGTCTGTCAATCACCAGATCTCTTTCCCTGTCACAGCATTTTGTTCAAATCATGGTGCTAAGATATATCCAACCAAAATCTCTCTGGGTTTGATTAAAACTCATTCATTTCCAATGTTCCCTAAAATATACTCCTCCAAAAGCCCCTGAGAACCTTCCCTAGTGATCCACGCCTCATTGCAGGGCTCAGCCCGTCCTCCAGGCCAAAGCCCCCCTGTCCTTCATGGCCCTCTGGCAGCTTCCACTCCCTGGATCTAGACCCTCTCCAGCTGACTCATATCCTCTGCTGAAACACTGCCATCAAATCTGGTCAGTGCATGACCAAATTACTTCCAAAATCCTTATTAATATGGGTCAACATCTGAATAACATTTTTCAAAGTGGAATACAACTACTGCCCCTTTCGGCACAAGGCCAACCTCAATGACGAGGTCTTGATACTTGCGCCTGGTCAGTCTCCCCTGTGACAGGTTTATATCGCTAGTTTTGTAAACTCAAGTTTCTCATCTTGCCCTCATCTTGACCAAACTTCATTTTGTTTCTACAGAGCCGTGTCCTTCAATGTCAAGTTTATTTCTGAATTTATATTGAATTTTAAAGTACCAACAACTCTCATAATGTTAACCTATTATGTCTTATCATTTCTTCTGAATACATACTATGTTGTTCCTTTCTAAATTGAAAGTTTAAGCCTTTTCTATACCTTAAATCTTGACTTTAATCCTTCAAATGTATCACACACCACAGCAACCTCTTCCTCTGTTCCAATCTACTCTATAACCAATAACCTTATAACCCCTGATCATGTCCTTCCCTTCTCAGAACGCCATGGTTCTAGCTGCCTCTTAATTAAGTAATTCCCGCTAACTAGGCCTGTGCTCTCTAGACTTAATCTTACCCCAGTCTCTACACAAACACTGGTCACCTACAGACAAGCCAGCCTCCTTTCTTGAGGAATTACACATGCGATTCCTCATGACTAGAACATTTTTAAGTCTGGTAAACAAGCAGTACTCAATTGGAGGCATTAGGAAATGTGTGTGCATGGGGGGCGGGGGAGGGGTGTTGACTGTTAAAATAATTGGTAAGCACAACTGACATTTAGTAGGCAAGGGCTAGGGTTGCAAAATATCCCGTAACTACAAGATAGTCTTCAACAATGAAAAAGTACCTTGCTCCAAAATACCAAGAATGTCTCTGACGAGAAATACTACTTTCAACAAACTTAGCATGTACCGAAAAAAGTCACCTTATCTGAGAAGCAATTCTAAGTGAACTTTACTCTTCTCCCATCATTCTTGTCATTCTCCCTCAACCTCCCTGATTATTGAGCTCTTATACAGCAGTACATATGAATGGCTATATGGCATTTGTGGCATTCCTATATCTGCTTGCCTTTGTCCTAGCTCCCTGCTTTTGTAAGGAAATACACAAAATTCCCTACCCAATGAGTGCACAATATTGTCTTGCTAAGTGATTGGCTGATTCTAAAATAGATGGTGTGATGGTAACTACCCTTCCTTGACACTGGATAAAACTGCCTCTATCACATTGGAGGCCCCCACAACCCACAAGGGAAAACAAACCCCAAACTATTACTAGAAGAGTGACATGGAGAGCCAGGCACCTTGTTTGAGGTGGCATGTTTATGTGCAGCATAATACTCAGCATCTGCTTTTGCCTTCTCTCGGGCCAGGAACGCGGCATCTAGCAAACAAAAGAATCAGGGTGTTTAAAACAAAGGAAAGCTGCAATCCAGCTCCTCCGCGGGTACGAGTTCAGACTCTGCTTTAAGGGGGAGTACCTTTCACCACTGCTTGACATGCTGATCACTTACATTACTTTAAAGGCATATGACACCACTAGCAGTTTCAAATCTCAGTCCCCAGACAGCTCATTCTCAAAGGGGAACACTCTTGTCAATGTCGAATAACTCTAAGCTCATCTGAGCCCGCCTCATTTTCCATCTAAAGTTGCTCCTTCTTTCCTCCACACCCCACACCCCCATCACCCAAAGCCTCACTCTGAGGCTGTCGGCTTCAAATGAAATGACTAAGTCCAGACATGGAAGCTCTGCTCTATTTACTGCGTTGTCTCCACCCCCTCCGAATTTGATCCAGTCAGTTAATGCAGAATGATAGGAAGCAGCTGTATATAAGCAAAAAAGGCCGAATGTTTGGTCTTCAAGGCTGTGAGCTAAGACCAGCAGTCAGTATCTCACTATGTGAAATCAAGAGTCATTTGAGAGCCTCTGTGAAAACCGGGCCTTCTTCCCAGCAATTTTTGTTTTGCTTTCTTTTTTGGTTGACAGGTAGAAGATAAACTAGTTGTGGTGGGGTTTCTCATCTTATACATTCTTTACAATTGATTATGGGTAATTATCATACTGTTTGAGAACAAAATAGGAGCTAATAAGCCCCAATTTAAGGACAGAAAATGAAAAAGGTTGAGTTACCCATAGTCACAAACCAAGCCAAGAGCTAGATATGTAATGGCAATTTAAAACCATTTGTCTAGAATGTGAGGCCAGCCCCCTCCTCCGGCTGAGGTCACCCCGCCTACGGCCTTCCCACCCACCACACACAAGAGCGCGATTCCTGAGGCAGCGAGGCTGAGCAGAACAGTCAAGAGCCTCTTTACGCCCTGGTGTACCTTCAATTTCAGAAATGCGCTTTTCAGTTTCTTTCTCCATCACCTTCTGCTGAAACTGAATTTTTGACACTTGTGCAATCTTCTCTGCTTCTATAATTATACAAAAAAGAAGACACATTCAAAAACAATCCCTAGTTCCGCAGGTACTTATATCAGCAGCACAAAGTCTAACATTTAATTACATAAGGTGCTTTGCGCTAATTGTTCTATAAAGTTTTATCTCTCCAGACTGTAAAGAACTCAATGGAAAAGAAAGGAAATTTCTTTCCTACTTCACTGTTCTGTTTTGACAGTGATGATTTTGTGGGAAGGGGGAGTATAAAAGGTACCACTTCCAGTCCTTCATGGGATTAAAGAGCAATGGTCCACGAGCCAGTGGGAAAACAAGGTAGTTCATGAAAGTGCTCAGAACAAAAACAGAGCAACATAAATACATGGCAAGATAGGACAACTATATAATGTGGCAGGACAAAGAAAGACTCAGGAAGGTAAGTTAAACGAAGGAAGGCCTTCTGGAAGAAATCTTAAATAATGGACGTGACATAGGAGGACACGGCAGAAGGCGTAAACAAAGACAAGTAGGTACGAATGAGCAAGTCACAAGGAAGAGGCGATATAGCCAGCCGTCAAGAGGAGACAACAAAAAATAAGAATAGGAAGAGGCTAGAAGACCCCATCTTGAGAAACAGTCTAAGGAATTTAGCTTTAATATACTCAGGATCGACTGTGAAGCTATCAGCAGGGAAATGACACAATGAAAGCATCAGAGGAGGAGTATTCTGACTGCCGTCGGAGACAGAAGAGAAAGCAGGAGAAGGCACCTGAGGATGTGAAAACAAGTGCTGGGAATGAACCAGTGGGCTTCTGCAGGCAATTACAGGCAGGGAAAACAAGCAACAGCCCTAGTAAACCTCTGGCCCACCCACAGGAGCCAGGACCAGGGAAGAAAGGCTCTAATTACACTTTCATCTCAATCACTGCAACTCTTGAAGAACATTCTCAATTCCAAAGAAAGTGAGTATTTTAAAGCATCTTTGGCCCCAGGGGGAAGTGCATAATGGAAAGAAAACTTTCAAATGGTTTCTTCTTTCCTGAAGACAGTATCCTTTATCAACTACCCCAGGGCATGCTTCTCTATTTCCCCATCAGTGTAAAATCAATCGCGATCATCCTAAAAAAGGACCACTATGTTCAACTGGGCTAAAAATTTAGCTATAAGCAGAAACTTAAGGTAAAACCTGAATAAAAGGTAAGGAATCTGGAGTCTGCAGCTAGAACTCAGAGAATGGTGTCTCAACACAGGGGGACTGTTGCCATAAGCTCATTTAACACTGCTCTCCAACGTGTGGAGCTAAACCCATAAAGAGCAAACATCTAGCTCTAGGAAAATGGTGGAATAGGCCAATGAGAAAACCCTTCAGCTAACAACACTTTAAAGTGCTAGATAAAATATAACAAATTTGTTTTTTAACGCATGGCTGAGCTCATAAGAAAGCATGGGAGATCCTCAAGAGACATAAGCAAAGGAAGAGCTGAGCGCCTATGCTGGGCAGCCACGGTGGTGGTTATTAGAAAAGCAAGGGAGAGGACTTGGGTTACTGCCCAGGCAGGGCCAGGAGATGAGGCCCCGAGATGTGAGAACTGACAGTCCTGCATATAACCGAGACCGCTAACAGGCTGCAACTCCAGTGAGGTTAAAAAAAACCTCTACCCACCAGCCCAGTGAGAACCTTTCCTCTACCTAGACACATCATAGTGAAGCTGAAAAAAAACCCAAAGACAGAGAGGAAAATCTTAAAAGTGAAAAGAGAAGAGGTCAAACAAAAATAAAATGATATTGCCAAAGTAACAAAGAATAATAAGTTTAGTTGAGCTTAGAACTATAGTCTAAATTACTATTCAAGAATAAAATAAAAGCATTTCAGGCCAAGGAAAACTAAGTTTTCCATTCCTTAGCCTTCACTGGGAAAAAAAAAAAAAGAACGAATTGCCAGAAGCAATGGAGAAAAAAAAATTACATAACACATGTAAATCAAAATATGTTTACTGTAAGAATTGATGATGATAATAGGGGAATAAAAACAACACAAAACTCAAATACCAGGCAACAGTATGAAAAATTGGAGGACAGCGATAAGAATGAAAGCATTCTCAGGTATTGTTCAAGAAGAGGATGGAAAGAATGATTAACGTTAGACTTTGTCAAGTCTTAACATTTTACAGGTAATGATTATTTATACATTCTCGAAACTGAATATAAAACTTCCAATCAAGTAAAAGGAAGAAAAAAATAAAGAAAATTCAATCAATACCAATCAAAAAAGAGAAAAAAAAAAAGCAAAGAAAAAAATGCATGGTAAATAGCATAAAATTAAGTGATATAAACAAATCCAAACATAGCAGTAACCACAATAAATATAAAAAGACTAAACTCACCAGTTAAAAGACAGATTCTCACATTGGATAAGATAACAAAATCCAGCTATATGCTGTTTACAAGAGACACACCTAAAACATAATGACATAGAAAAGTTGAAAGTAAAAGGATGTGAAAAGATACATCAAGAAAATAACTAACCAAGAGAAATCGGGCATAGCTATATATTATCATCAGACAAAATAGACCTTAGGCAAAAAAGCATGTTTGGGATAAAGAGGGTTATTACATAACAGGCACAATTTTCCAGGAAGATGTAACAATTCTGAACTGGAATGCTCTTAATGATATTGCCCCAAAATACATAAAGAAAAAAATTATCAGTCAACAAATCTACGATCACAGTGGGAGATTTTAACACACCTCTCTCAGTAATTGATAGCTCAAGAAGGCAAACATTAGAATACATTAAGATGTGAATAACACCATTCATAAGTCTGACCTAATGATATATAGAGAAACCTGCATCCAACAAATAGTGAAAATAATAGTGAATATATAAAAGATATATTCAATCTTTTCAAGCACACATAGAGCATTTCCCAAAAAAGGACCATGTACTGATAAGCCACAAAGCAAATTTCAACAAATACTTAAGAATCCATATAACAGATAATATTTTCTGACTATAATGCAATAGCATTGGAAATCAACAAAAAGGCAGCGCCTTGAAAACCCATTCAATCAGAAATTTTAAAATATGCTCTTAGTAATTCATGAGTCAAAGAAGAAATCATAATGGAAATACTTCTTAAAAATTAAAACGGAACACCGGTAATAAACTACATTTCAAAACTTGAGATATGCCTAAAGCAGAACTTAGAAGGAAATTTATAATCTTACGTATTTCCATTAGAAAAGATTGAAAACTAAAGAATTAAGTAACTCAAGAAGTTAGAAACCAATAAGTAACATCAAAAATAGAAGGAAAGAAATAATAAAAATAAATGTAAATACGCTAATTGAAAAGAAAGTGACAATAGAACCAAACAATTTAAAATCCAGTTCTGTGAAAAAATGAATAAAATAAGACAGACATCTGGCAAAATTGATCCGACAAAAGAGAAGGCACACTTAAGCAATATTAGGAATAAAAGGGGCGCATACAGATTTGGTAGAGGGTTTTAAACAGCAAAAGAATTCTATAAATTTATGCCCCCAAATTTGAAATGTGTCATGAAATGGACAATTTTCTAGAAAAATAAAGCTACCAGAACTGACCTAGAAACAAATACCTGAATAGACCTATACCCAATCTAGAAATTGAATCAGTAGGTTAAATATTACCACAAAAAACAAACAAGCATACAAAAAAGCACAAACCCCACTAGACCAAGAAGGTTTTTACAAGTGAGTTCCACCAAACCTACAAAGAAGAGATAATAGATATTTTATACAAAATGTTCCAGAACACATAAAAAGAAGAAATGTTCTCCAACTCATTTTGAGGCTAGAGTAACCATGATACAAACAAAACAAAACACAACAAAACAAAACACCTGACAGGGAGCGTACAAAGAAAAAAAATTATAAACCAATCTCATTTATGATAATAAAAGTAAAACTTTTAAAGAAATCACTAGCAAACTATATAGAAAAATGAGAAATATAATGGGGTGAATCTCCTATATTATGACCAAGTGGGTTTACCCCAGGAAGACAAATAATTCAGTAACAGAAAATCTGTTAACGTAATTCACCACATTAACATCTTTAAAAAGAAAATTATATAGTCATCCCAACAGATATAGAAAAAAAAAAACCTAAAAGTTTTAACAACCATTCATGATAAAAACTCTTGACAAGCAAGAAGGAAACTTCATTAACCCAATAAAAGTTAAGAAACGTCAACATCATTGGGACTATTTAAAGTTAGGAAGACAACAAGAATGCCTGTAACCATCTTTCTTTTCAACAAGGCAAAGCCTAAAGCAATAAGATACAACTAAAAGATGTGGGACTACCAATAAAAAACCAAAACTGTCCTTATCTGAAGACAATATGATTGCTCACATGGGAAATCCAAGAGACTATTTAGAAATAGCAGCATTTTGAGCAAGACTGTTAAAAGACAAAAAAACAACAGTATACCAATACAAAAGCAAAAATCAGTTAGAAAAAGTACCTTCAAAAAATAGCCTTTTTATAATAGCAAAACACTTGAGGAATATATAGGAATAAATTTCCAACAAAGATGTGCAAGAACTTTAAGAAGAAAATCATGACACTTTTTTCAAAGGCAAGTCTCATAAATGGAGAAATATAACAGATTTATGAGACTCAATATTATAAATATTGTAATTCTCTCCAAAGTGAAGTATACAGGTATGCAGTTCCAGTCAAAACCCTAATACAGTATTTTACAGAACTTGAGGAGTTGGTTCTAAAATTTATACAGAGGAATAAAGAACCTAGGATAGTCCAAGACAATTTTAGGAATAGTTAAGGAGAAATTTGCTCTCCCAGATAGCAAGACTTAACATAAAAGCTATAATAATTAAAACAATATTGAAGAAGGCTAGACTAAGAAATTGAAACAAAATAGAGACCCTAGCTACAGAACAAATCATATGTACGATCTTGCTACATACAGATGTGACAGTAGAAAAAAGTAGAGGAAATAATGAACTATTCAATCAACAGCCTACAGAAATTTCCATTTGGAAAAAATAGAACTGAACTCCTATGTCACACTAAACACTAAAATAAATTCCCAATGGATTCAATACTTAAATATGAAAAGCAAAACTTTAAAACTTTTAGAATAAAATGTTTACTTTGAGGCTAAGAAAAATTTTTTTTTTTTTTTTTTTAGCTGAGCCATCCTGCTACCTGTTGGCAGCTCAGTGGCTGCTCAGCTCGGGCCAGGACTCGAACTGCTGTTGCTCAGAGCTCAAACTCTTGAGCAAGCTCTTAACCAACTGAGCCATTCGGCTGGCCCCAAGAAAAAATTCTTAAACAAGACAGGAAAAGCACAAACTAGAAAGAGGAAGATTGATAAATTTGATTACATGAAATCAAATTTCATGTAAAAAATAAATTAAACATATATATATGTCAAAAACATCATAAAGTTCAAAGACAAGCCACAAGTTGAGAGAAGATATTTGCAATGCATAAATCTGGGAAAGGATTAATATCCAAAAGATATAAAGAACTTCTACAAGTTAACTCAAAAAAAGTAATCGAATAATGGATTAATGATATTAAAAGACAATTCACATACTACCAAAAAAAAAAAAAAAGAAAAGGGAAACATGAATGACCAATAAACAATACTCAACACTACTAGTTATCAGAGAAATTTAACTGAAATTATGTGCTACCATGTCTACCACGAACTGGCATAAATTTTAAAACATGTTATAATTCTAAGGGCTGAGGAGGGTGTGGAGAAAAGGGAATTCAATATGGCAGCACAGAGACTGGAACTCACACACTGCTGAAGAGAAGGGAGAATGGAAGAATCACTTTTGGAGAGCAATATGGCAGTATGTTATAAATTTAAAGATGTATATGCCCTATGACCCAGCAATTCTACTTCAAGATATGTGTTCTACAGGAATCTGTGGGAAAAGACACTTTTTTTTTGGTATTTAAATCTTTTAGGAACCAAAATTTTATAAATTATAATAAAAATGAATTACTAGAAAAATATTAAAAACAAAAGCACAAGTTCCAGTTTTTTATTATAAGATTCAACAGACATAAAATTACTGTGTTAAAAGGCTGTACAGACTTCTTAACACCCATCCTCATATTCTGTACTCATCTCATTGTAGATCAGAAACAAAAGGCTGGTGATAAGCACTGACCCATACCACAGGTGGAATAGCACGACTCGAGGAAAACCCTCACATGTGCACACAAGACCTGGATAAGGGCATTACTGCAGCACTCTTTATAATAAGGAAAAACTGGAAACTACCTAACTCTTCATCATTTATAATCAATCGGAATAAACTGAGGTTCACTCATAGAATGAAATACACAGTCGTTAAAAATGAACATGTATCATATAAATAAAACTCAAACAACGTTGGTTTAAAAAGGCAAGCTATGAAATGAAAGGTAGAGTTCGATATCATTTTTGCAGTTTAAAACAATTCTGTGAATTTATTGTTACATACTAATAGTATAAAAATATGGGCAGAAAAGATATAAATCGACTTCAGAATAGAAGCTACTGAGAAGACAGGTCAAGAAATAAGACCAGGGAAAGGACAAAGGAGGCTTCAGGCAGATATGTTTTTCTTAAAAGAAAATATGGAAAAATGTTAAGCCTTCTTTTTACCGTTTTCCGTACAGTCCTACAATATTTGAAATATTTAATGGAAGACTTCCTAAGCTTTCAGCATGCCAAGGAATGAACAGCTGGGAGCTAAGATGGCAGTCTAATCAGTACCCTGGGGTGTTAGGGAAGCCACTGTGACTCAAAACCAGCTGTAAGCAATCCTGCCGGGCTGTCAGAGACGGTGGGATCTCTCCACCCAGATGAAACGAGGTGCATGTCAACAGCATGGGTGCATACTATAACCCTGAGCTTTGGCCCCGAACTCCCCTATGCTGCATGAACAAAAATCTTACTCCACAGAGGCTAGAGCTGCCCCCAAACCCCATCCACTTTCCCCATCCTTGAAAAAGACAATAGTGGCAGCCAACGACATGATGGAAAGCCAAACACTTCATTAAGTATTGGCCTCATCTGCTTTTAAAGGCCTTAGGACATCCGACTGTACTAAAAAGTTTCCAGAATTCTCCACTGTATGGTGCAATCTTATTTGAGTCCCATCAGTATCTCACATGAAGCTGACAAAGAACAGGACCAACTCGTAGCACACGTACTTAGAGACATCCATTTCAGAAAGAAATCCAAATACCTATAATAGCCTTTTTCCGCTCTGTCTCAGCTTCTTTCTCCACCACCTTTTGTTTCTGGGTAGCTATAAGAAGTTTCGTCTTCTCAGCCTCCCTGTGGAGCAAAATATTATAAAAATTAGAAATGATGTGCAGTCACAGGCAGTAATTCTGACTCTATCATGGGTCACAGAACCATGTGCACCAAAAACTTTCTGACCCATTAAGACAGGCAAGAGCGGTGTTACCCTATTTTACATACAATGAATCAGAGATTGAAAGGTTAAATTATTTGCCCACAGTCACTCAGAGGTAGGAATGAAATTCAGTACATTTGAATTTTAAACTGACTCTTCCCTCTGACTGTATCATGGAGAGGCCTGTGCTAGGAAGTATCTGGAGTACAGAAGCGCTTCCTTTGCTGTGAGGTCTTGGCTAGCTCATACAGCACCTCCGGGCCCATTAGCAAAAGGCACCCACCCTTGGGCAGATCAAGTCCCTGAGGTGCATGGTTTGGCAAGCAGAACGGAGCTGGATTTCAGCCCCTCCTTAGGCAGACACCCTGTGCAGTGGCCCTATTTGCTGTACAAAAGATATAACTAGGTGGCAGTTTATTAGGTGGTGAACTAGGGCCCCATGTAAGGAAAATTTTTCTAAGAATCTGAGCTTTCTAATGATGGAAATGGCTGGCCTAGCACTAAGCATGTACAAGTGACGAGTGGGTGACCGCATGGCAGGAATGGTACAAAAAAACCACTATTAGGTAGGAGGTTGGACCGCATGACCCCATAGCGGCTTTAATCCTGGAATTCTAACAGTCTATAACATTAGGAAAGATCCAGAATTATCTGGGCAGTAACTCCAATACCTTCCCCAAACATTTACCCCAAAGCTCTCCCCTTTCCTCCTGCCAACACTGATAAACAAAAATGACACTGTGGATACTATGAGGTATTTGAGGGCAGAGAACACATTGAATTCATCTTTCCATCACTAGAAGCCATCATATTTAAGGCCTAAGACCAAACTGAGACTTCAACAAATATTTTTTTTCTATAAATGGATCAGACCCATGATTTATCCAGTCTGGCACTCTGTGCTTTATCGTTTTAAAGAAAGAGTTCCTTTTCTACAATAAAAAATGGGAAAATAAAACTCTACAGACTTGGGAACAATAAGGACTCAGAAGTATATCATTCCATAAAGCAGTACTGTTATTGTTACATCTTGGACCCCTGTATTTATACATCTGTTGTATTCTTGGCTGTCGCAAAGTTACTGTTCAAGCATTTCATATTTTTCCTCTTAACAAATCAGCATAATTTCCTAATGACTTTTGTTCTTCTTTTCAGTACCTGTCATGAGAGTAATACTGCCATTTCAACTGTAATAGGTATTCCCCTAAAAGGGATCTTCTAAAAAAGAAACTAACTTCATGCCAAGCAAGTAACTTCTCATACTCAGTCAGTCCTGGACACATAAAAGAGAATACTACCAGGAATCAATTCAGGCAAATTATAAAGATCCAGGTCTAAATTTAGATACACAATCACATACAAACCAAACTTTATACCAATATGGTATCTATTCTTACCATTGTAACACAGTAACAAATTATAGGCACTCTCTCCAACCTTAACAGCTAATTCTTTCTCTCCTCTATTAATTTTTAATTCAAGGTATTATTCACAACCAAATTATAGCTCCTTGGCTTCCAACAATAGTTCTACAACACACTGCATCCTTAGCCACTGAAGCTGCTCCTGAAATGTCCGTATATAAAGAGAAAACTAATAAGAATCAGGTAGGAATTAAGACACCAGGATAGGCAATATTACTAAAGTATGGAAGACAGGCATATACCACACCCCGGAGTGTAATATCTCACACATAAGTTTCTCTAGACTGACAAATTAATATGTAGACAGCCCTAAATAAAATGTTGGGATCCCATGCATATTACTCACATTAACTCAAAATTTCTTCTTATGGCTTCTGGGATTTTGGGTTTTGTAACACGCACAGCCTAAAAAATAAAAGTGAAAAAGCCAAAGTATATTTGAAAAATAAATCTTCAAACTAAATCTTCTACAGAAGAGCTCCTCAAATGAAACTAATAAAACAACTATGACAGCTGCCTCCAAACACATGTGGGGATCCCAAGAGAAAATCTACTTTTCCTGCCATCGTACCAAGAATCAAAAATGAACTGCTTCTTGTTTCCTTAAAAAAAAATGCCTGGTTACAGGAAAAACCACTCTATCCCCTGAGGAAATAAACTCCTTCAGAGGAAAAGTTTTCTCTTACAAGACCTTTCACAAAGCTCTTTAGATGGATACTTCGGTTTCCTTTTCAAACTTGCAAACCAAAGAAACAAAAGGAAGGCAAAATTCAAACATGTAAATTGTAAAGTAGGAAACAGTCAAACACAAAAATAAAAATAAAAAACCCAGATAGCACATGTAACTTAATACAGCGTACAGTAAATGAATTTACCACTTCCTAAACATGTAATCATTCAGTACTGGCTATAAATAAACGGTCCAAATGCCAATTAACAGCTTAATTCTTTCTTGCTGGAATCTCACTTAGAACGAAGTCTACTTGCCTTCTAGACACTGTTTACTGGACATGGTTCCCTAACCACAGTGTACTTTGACATAATTACCTCATCTACTTGGAAAGCGCAGTTTCTTGAAAGCTGACTTTTCTACAAGGACTTGATCTCTCAAAACCTTTTAGTTTTACTAGGGAAACATCCCTCACTCCCCACCTACACAGGAAACACACACAAAACACTTTGCTGATCTGAAGAAAGTTATTGTAATTTCCCTCTGAAAACTGGCTAAACTTTTAAGCAACAAAGCTTTTAGGCACATAGCCTTCTTTAAAGACTTTTGAAAGAAGGCTTTTAAAAATGTTTCAGCAACATAGCCTTCCCTACGTGAAAGAGAACAGTCAAATCTATACGTAATTTTGAGGACTATTAAAACAAAATACAAGAATTAGAGTAAAATGGAATAAGACGCTGGGGACTGTGGTGAGGAAACTCATTACATGCTGAAGGTGAGGCACATGAGGCCACAAAGAACAACAGATGGAGATATCCAGAAGACAAAAATTCAGAACCAGAATTTGTGCAAGATGCCAGTTTTCACCACTTGTCTAACAGAAATAAAGATGACTTCCAATACATTTTAATCAAGATTCAGATGGAAGCACTGTCATACTGCATTTAATTAAGAGACTAGCCACCTATCTTTTTAGTCTTACAAAAAGAAGCATAAACTAGAACTGCTTTCTGAAGACTTCTATCTTGTGTGAGGCTGAAGAACATACTATGTGCTTGCCATTCTCGGGAAATATCATAATTTTCAAATGTGAAAATATAAACACCTACTGTAACAGATACCATGAGTAAGTTGCATCATAAAAGATTTAAGAAATAAAATAACATATCCAAAAATAATGGTCAAAATGAACGTTCACATGCACGTGCGTATACACACACACACACACACAGTGAGTGAATCAAGGAAAAAAATGCTGATGAAATAAGTATATCTGTTGAAACTGACCCCTGGGTTATAAACATACATTTGAACCCACCCTCCCCCACCCAAAACCACACCAACAGAAAACAGACAAAAGGTATGAATAGGCAATTGACAGAGGAGAGTACAAAACACCAAAAAAAGTCAAAAGATGCTCAACCTCATGAAAAAGGAAATGCAAATCAAAGAGAGAGAAAGAACTTCACACTTTCCCATTTAGCAAAAATTAGTACATCTAATTGCTTCAAATGCTGCTGAGGTTGTAGAAACAAGTATTCATACATACTGCTGATAAGGATGTAGATTTGTACACTCACTTTGAAAGATAATTTGTACATACAAGGAGATGTGTCAGGAATGTTCACTACACTACTGCTTACTAATAGCAAAAAAAAAAAAACTTAAATAGAAACAATAGGGAAATGGTTATGTAACATAAAGCAAGAAATTCTAGACAGCTGCTAAAAAGAATGAGCTAGAACTCCAACTAACAACCTGGGCAGAATATAAGAATCGGTGACATAACATGTTTTATCTTTAAAACTGAAAAGCTCCTCCAGCCACAATGGAACGTACAACCAAGATTTTACAAAATTAGCTCTGGACATTTCAGATGACTGCTTAACTTCGGCGGCTCCCTCCTCCCTCCACCCCCCACCCCCACTCCCACCCCCAGGCACCCATCAGAGATAACAGCACAGTGTGGATGAGGACTGGGAAGACATTCACCATCTTTCCAGTCTCGTTTATGGGATCTCACATGATCACTCATAGTGAATGCACACCCTCAGTAGCAGAGCAACACTCCAGACACAGGACACCAAACAAAGCTTTATCTAGCTGCAGTAATGTTCACAACAATCAACTCACCTCCTAGAAACTCTGACAAAGAGCTCTAGAAGCCATATTACTGCTTCTGAGGTAATCCAGATTCTGAGCCATGGCTTTCAAATGTTATTGACCATGAACGACCACAGCAAGAAACACATTTTACAGTGACACCCAACATAAACACCTTCCACACACTTACCTAAAACAACTGAAATTTCACAGAATGTTAAACTGACTACATGACCCATGTGCTGATTTCTTTTCCTTTTCAATTCCATTTTATTTAAAATGCTGGTCATGACCCACCCAAACTGATTTTAGAACCCACTAATGGATTTCAATCCAATCTGAAAAATACTGACCCAAAAAAGCAGGCATGTAACTCTCACCACCCTATCTCCCAACGCCACCCCCCACCACCACCAATTTTATTTGCTCCCTTGCTGTGACTCAGGCCACCCCACAAACCTGAACTACCTTCCTCCTCTTCTCCCTCACAGAGATCTTACTAATTCTTCCAGATCTAACTAAAATCCCAACTTAATCAGTCATTTCCAGGCAGACTCTCTTGCAATGTTCTCTAACTCTAAACTCTTGAAGTAATAATCATCCAATCAATTTGTCAATTAATACTTTGTCACATCTATTTTGTCTAGAATTATTGTTCAAATCTGATACCTGAAATCCTTTTTCATAATCTTACTAAGGGCACCCTCAGTAAGATTATGAAAAAAGGATACTCTTCCACTGATTTATAACCATTACTGCATCTTAGTAATGCCTCACACATAGCAGTACATGGATTTTATTTCCTGGTAAGAGCCTCAGCTTATCTGTTTCCTCTAAGAGTTCAGAAGAAAATGCCACCCATGATAAGCTACAAGAGTATTTTATTTTGGCAGAGACCTAAAGCCAAACTGACAAAGATATTCTATAAATCACCATAGCACTTCGATTAAATAATTACTGAATAAATAGTCTGATGAAAGGACAATTAAGTTCAGAGCTCCTAAATTTTCCTAGGAAAAAAGGCTTACCTGTATGGTGAGGCCTGGGGCCATGACGTTTAAATCTTTCTGCAGAGCTTGCTTCAGGTTTTCATCTATTTGATCTGTTTTAGGAGGCAAAAACAACAGCTCTCATGACACTTAAAAAAATATTTTTACATTGTATTAATATTGAAACAAAACCAATTATTATTAGATCTAAAAGTATTACTCTTTTGCAGAGCTTAACATATATATATATATATATATATATATATATAAATAAATAAATAAATATATATGTATGTATCACTTTGTGTGGGAGAAAGTGTAAGGAATTATCGAACAAAGAAATTAAGAAAGATGACAAGTAGCTAGTCTAAGTTTATCCAATAAATGCAAAATTTAGGTCTCTGATATCTTAATTCAGTGTTGTTACTTAATGTGTTCTGAGTCTCATTAAAAAACAAAACAAAACCACAAATACTTATCTTCAGTTAATCTTTACCCAAAATTCTCAAGTAACTGAATTTTATTTCCATGAACCTCTGCCTATCATTTTGAATTTAAAAATAGAGAGGGTGGAAAAAGGCTCATAGGAAAGTCTTTGAAAGATCATGAAAATGTACAATAAAGATGTCACTTCACTTGGTCTTGTAACTCATGAATTTTCAATCCACCTCAACAGTACTTTCACCATTATTAAAAACACCAGTGATGTGACAGATCAGGATAGGTCAGTTTTCTCATACACCATCCCAGTAGCTGTCAGTCACCAACAAGGAATCAACTGGTAGGTTTCTAAACTGATTAACCATCTACCTACGCCGGCCTCTAAGAAATTCACTAAGAATTCCAGGAGGAAGAAGTGAGCAACCAGCCGCAACAACCCAAGCCCTGGTCAGAGCTCTCACTACTCTAAATCAAAGTAACTTGTGCAGAATAGAGTTAACGCAGTGAGCCTGAAGCTGCAATCCTTAGAAAGGCCTATTTGCATGTTGGCCCTTGGCTGCCACGTGGGAATTTGGATTCAGAGAGGATTCCCACTATCCCCAGAATGGATAAGAATGACTCACTATGCCTAAACCGTTGATACAAACAATGTGGTTTGTTCTGAACACCTGCTTTCCTTCCGGGAGTCTGAAATTTTGGTATGTGCCAGGCAGAGGGTGCCTATGTGACCAGCCTCCAATAAAAACCCCGGGCTCTAATGAGCTCCCCTAGTAGAAAGCATTTCACATGCGTTGTCACAATTCAGTGCTGGAGTAATTAAGTGTCTCCTGCGTGACTCCAATGGGAGAACCCTCTTGGAAGCCTGTGCCTTGCTTCCCTCAGACTTCGCCACTGCCTTTTCTTTACGCTGATTGTGCTTTGCATCCTTCTGCTGTCATACATCTTAGCTGTGAGTACAACTTGAGTCCTGTCAGTCCTCCTAGCAAATCATCAAAAGTGGGGGTGGGTCCTGGGAAACTGCAAGACACAGACTTCTAGAGTTCCCCGAATTATCTATTAGAATAGCAACAAAGCTAATTTTGAGTAAGTTATCATAGTAAAAACAGAATATAATCTATAAGTAATGATCTTTTTCCAAATTCTACCAAGTTATATATATTATGCACTTCAGAAAATGGTTATCATTCTTAAAATATCTTGTCTGAGTAACTACTAACTTAATCATAAGAAATGTTAAACTTAAGGAACATTTATTTCTTTATTTTTTAAAGATTTCATTGGGGAACTGGGGGAGGGGAACAGCGCTGGGGAATCGGGGAAGGGGAACAGACAAGTTGCTGTCCCCCTGCTCCTCAGTCCAGCCGCGGAGGACGTGGCTTCACTGGCCCATGCTGGCTTTGTGATCACTGCGCTCTTCCCGGGCGAGGCATTCGCCTACCAGCCATTGGACAGCTGCTCATGGAGGCTCACAGCAGCTCACAAAAGCTCATGCCCGCCGCCAACCAGCCCCACTGCAGCCTATGCCATCGCCGGCGACTCACGGCAGCCCAGCACCAGGTCAAGACATTGTTCACCAACTTAGCTGCAGAGGGCGCAGCGCCACCGGCCCACAAGTGGAATCCAAACCGGGGCCCTGCTGCTCAGAGCTGGCGTCCCAAGCCAACTTAACCAATGCACCACTTGGCCGGCCTCAGGAATATTTTAAAGACAACTGCTCTATCATAAATTCAGAAGTGCTCAAATAGCATGTTTACTAATATTGTTATAGTGTGCATAAAGGAGTTGAACAAGACTTCCAATTGGTTATTTATATATTTTAAGCCAAGGAGACGCTTACCAAACAATTCGATGTAAACTTCTTGAAGTGTGTGGGCACTGCAGAACTGGTTCAGTTCATGGTGAATTTTATTGAAGATTAAGGTCTTGTCATAATCTGCAGTGTAGTTCCTCACGATATCAAACACTGAAGGAGAGGTACAATCCATGTTTACCCCTGTATCTCTAATTCAGCCAAACTAAAAGTTACAGTGATATAATACACACGTGGGAAAGTGCCAACGAAACAGTGAAAACATGAAACACAACTCAAAACCTTGATGTGCTTCTTGTGCTTAAATTTTCCAGATATTACTACATTTGTAATTCTAATGGACAAACTTCAAATTCCATATTAAGGAGGGCATACATATCTCGGAGGTAATAAGGAATTGTCAAAGTTCTCAATCAAGGGCACAACACAATCAGATTTGTACTTTGGCCGCAGTATGAAGATGAATTGTGAGGCGCAAAAACCAGAAGCAGAAAAGTGTAAGGCTATTACTGCTAAGCAAAAGTTTAGCGAAGAGGTAAAGAGAAACAGTGGGAATAAAAGAAGGAAGCAGCTGCAAAAGTCCACTTTCAAAATGGCAGTTTTTAAAGGCTGTATAAAAAGGACACCAGGTTAGAAGGGAAAGAAGCGAACATTTACTGGGCCAGGTTTTATGTCAGGCAATTTATAAACACTGGCATTTAATTCTCAAAAACAAAGCTAATTAAGAAAACAGAATTTCAGAAATGTGCCTAAGGGAACATACTAGATCATACCAGAACCTGTGCGCTACCTATTAAAACATGCTGCTTGTTCCCTTCAGACCCAAGGACTTGATCCAACGGCCTTCCCAGTATTCAATAAATACTTCCTAACTAACTCGTTTGCTTGGTCATTTCCAAATGAATTGGTGATCCAATAGTTTCCTCTTTATCTCCTGCTAGAGAACCAGCAATCTCTTCTTATATTTTTCCAATCATAATCCATTTTCACTGATTTGTTACCAGGGTAAGTAGATGAAAAAAGACAAGGGAAATACTTAATCACTGAAAAATATAATCCAAATCCACTTGACAGTAACACAACTTGCTCTCTGCTCTGAAATCCTTTTGCTATTTGTGCCTGTTCCAGTAACATGAAATTTAGCATGACCTTACATTTCAATATATATTGGCAACATGTCTTCTCAAGTAAAATAAAAACCTCTTAGTGCAAACATTCTAACTTCGCTTTTTAAAATTGTTTTTGCTGAACACAGTATCCCGTATATACCAAGCATGCCGATTTTAATAATAAAGATAAAATAGCAGATCTTTCCATTGAATGAAGGGTCTTGAAGAGGCCCATGTATACCCATGTTCATAGTAGCATTATTCACAATAGCTAGAACGTGGAGGCAATCCAAGTGTCCACTGAGGGATGAATGGATAAACAAAATGTGGTCTATACATACAGCGGAATATTATTCAGCCTTAAAAAGGAAATTCTGACACATGCTACAACATGAATGAACCTTAAGAACATTATGCTGAGTGAAATGAGCCAGTCACAAAAAGACAAATACTGGATGATTCCACTTATATAAGGTACTTAAAGCAGTCAGAATCAGAGACAGAAAGTAGAATGGTAGTTGCCAGGGCCTGGGAGAAGGGGAAATGGGGAGTGATTGTTTAATGGGTACAGAGTTTCAGTTTTACAAGATGGAAAGTTATAGAGATGGATGGTTGCATAATAATGTGAATGTACTTAATGCCATGGAACTGTACACTTAAAAATGGTTAAGATGATAAATTCTACGTTATGTGTATTTTACCACAAAAAAAAAAAATTGGGGGAAAAAAAAATCAAACGTAAAAAAAGGCTGATTTTCTTTAGAACTTCGGAGTTTTTTACTTGAATAGTATCCACTCCATCTCTGTGGGTTTTCATCTTTTGTAAGAAAATGTTTCCCCACACTGTAGACTTTCAGATTGCTTGCAAGTTATAGAAAATCTCAACTAGAAAAGATTTTTCTATAGTCACAAATCAATGTGGCCCAGGAATTGATCAGTTACAGACTTTTAGCATGCAAGGAAATTATCTCTCTTCCTGACTGGATAAAGTGCTACTTTCTAGGAATTCTAGAAATAATCAATGACTGTCTTGCTCTTTAAAAACAGAGTAACCCATCTAGTTGCAGAAAGTCAACTCTGTCCAGGACTTGTGACCTATTTCTGCCACCATTCCTTAGAAATGAAGAGGATCCCGTGATTATTTTTTTATATCTATCAGAAATGAATGAAGTCACAAAAACTTTAAAAGTACCTTGCTATTCCTCAGGGAATCTCTTAGTTATAAATGCTCTGATTATAACTATAAAAACAACAGAACAGATCAGTAGTACCATACCTGCACAAGGGGCCAACATATTAACCACTTCTATTCGGTCAATATAGATCATGACCCCACCACTAAAAACAAAGAAATGGAAAAAGTATGAGCCATATACAAATCTATTATAATCCCAGATCATCAAACATATCACACATTATAGAAATTTAGAAGGAAAATCTAAAGACATATACTATTGACTAATTAAAATGACCCCACTAGTCACTACTCAAATAACCCTGGTTCCTTGTATAAACAAAGGCTCAGCTCTGTAACTGTGTGATCCAGTGAGCTCACAGGAAGACTAAACCTGTAACCCAGAGCTACATAGCACATAGCACTCTGCCCTTACTAACTGAAGACAACAGCTAAAGCACTGCTCTTCTCAAACTCTACCATTAAACAACCAAGTAAAATGGTTCTCCAGGGGGAGTGGAGGCCAGCCACAGTCTGATATTCTTTTGGTTTCCTGCCTTATCTTAATAACTCATCAAATAGTTTTAATCTACTTTTTATCTGTATTTATTCTAATATGAAAAAAAGAATTTTCCCCAGAACTTCAAGTAAAACTGATACTCCAGAAAGAAAGGTCTTGTTAATGGCTTCCTATACTTCCTGGCCTACCCTGAAGGGAATGTGAACCTCAATTTAAGATACATGAAGTTATCAACTATAGTTATACAACTTAGCTATACAACTAAGCCTTCCTACCAACTTACAAGGACATTTTTTTCTCATAAAATAGGGCAATACCTGCTTACTGAAAAAAATCTTGAGAAACATAGGAAAGCATGAAGATGAAAAAAAAAATTATCCAAAATCTCATCAGCTGCCAACTTTGAGTCATCTCTAAAGGGAATCCATAAAAGAGAGTTACAGATAGACCTAGGGAGAACTTGATGTCAAATATCTTAAAACAAAGGGAATTTGCTCCCTTTTAAAAAGCATTTGTCCTTCTATAGATGTCATAGCCTCTTTTATATAGTCTTGTAATAGTGATATTTTAGTCATTTATAACAGAGCATTTAAAAAACACCTTCAACTTTGCATTCTTCTTTTGATACAATTCAACGTACTGATTATACTCTAGAAATAATTTGGGATTTGCTTGCCTATATCTCCCTAAAATTTTTTAGGGCAGTGATTTTCACCATAGGGTCCCCAGACCAGCAGGACCAGCATCACCTGGGAACTTGCTAGAAATGCAAATTCTTGGGCCTTATTCCAGAGTTACTGAATCAGAAACTCTAAATTACATGGCATTTAATACTACAGATGAGATGATTTCACTTTAAACAATCTGTTATTGAGCACTTACCCTGAGTCAAGTGCTAGGTTAGGCACTTTTATATACACTAATTCTAATCCTTATAATAACTCTCCAAGGTAGGTCTTATTACCTGATTTCTACAAATGAGGAAACTAGGCTTAGAAAAGTCAATAAAGGCATGTGTGGCAGCAAGGAATATATGGGAACTCTGTACTTTCTGCTCAATTTAGCTATGAATCTAAAAGGATCCTAAAAATAAAGTATATTTAAAATAAAAAACTCAATGTGGCTGTGCTGGTATTTGAAGTTAGGTCTGGTGGCTCTAAAACCCTACTTTTTTCAATAACACCCTATGGTTCCTAAGATGGAAAACTCCTATTTGGAGATAGGGCTTTTCTCAAATAATGCTTAGACGAGAAACCCCCTAGGTGACTACCATGCTTATTTGAAAAGATGTTTAACTGATCACAACTTATTAACAGAAACGCCATCTGAACTAAAAGGAGGTTGGTTAGGGAGGGAAGCTTACCTTGTTCCACAAGGCACATTTTTAACTTCATCAGTTTGTAGTGTTGTCTGGGGAGGTAAAAATATCTCATCAATACTCAGGATACATAGTGTCAAAGAACTACTGGTCCCAGAGGAAAACCTCTGGAGAACTGCTGAGAGGTAAGTACACGAGAGCTCCATTACAGTTTCAGTCACCAAAGATTAGCTATCACAGTGATTTTTTGTTGTATCCTAGCAGACGAAAAGCCTTAAGACAAAATATTTTAAAGCTAATGTCTGAATCAGGATGCACTAGAAAAGTTTCAATGTTCAATCTAAAAGTTTTCGTTTTAAACCTCTCAGAGTCCCTTATTTGCCTGGAGCTGGCCTGGGATTGCAAACTACATGGCTTACCCAGAAGGATCCTACTGCTAGGACTTGTGCTCTGAACTTTGATTCCACTTCTACTATTACTGTTTACAGTGAAGGTAAAAGATAACCATTATATGCATACAAGTAGTCTACAATTCAAAGGTACCCTTGAACTCAACTGCAACTTTTTCTCTAAAGCAATAGTCAGTATTTTAGTTCAAGCCCCAGTGATCTCTCAAAAGAAGTGCCACCACCAGTACTGCTTCCTCCTACTGAACCAACAATCTGGTACATATTATAATTACTTTGCCCTTGCACACCTTTGTTCTGATCCAGAATGACTCTCTAGTTCACTCTATGGCCTCCTGTAGGTGAGCACCTAGTGAGTGTGTTCTAGACACAAGGCACTTTATTAAGCACAGAGCAACATATTACTTTATGGAAAGCATGGTCCCTGTTTCCAAACAGCTCACAATCCAACACAGGAAATAATATCCTTACAAAGCAATCCATAACAGGTGTAAAATAACAGGGTATAAACTCAATTGTTAGGTATTAAGTGGCAGAGAGTAAAATGATAGTTTGAAAAGCCCTCTGAGGTGAAGTATTTATAAGTCAGGTCTAGAGGGAGAGAAATAAGAACAGATGAGGCACAGAAACATCTTAGGTTCAATAAACGTCCTACTCAAATACACAAAGGTGAGGACAAACAGTGTATACAGGTGACAGGAAGCAGATTGGCTTGCCTGGAGCAGATGGGGTGATATAGATGAAAGCTGCAATTCTGAGACGAGAACATGGTGATATTAGATCGAGTGCCCTGAAATGTTCACTGGGGGGCTTGGGCTCTCCCTAGTCTATCTTATAGACAGCCTCCAAATGAACCTTTCAAAATATGTTTTTTTCCTTAATTCCTTTGCTCACATGTGGCACAGTTCTCATTATCCATCATCTCTAGAACGAGAAAACCAGCTGGGAAGCTAAAGTTTTCATTTATTTAGGTTGACTTAGTAAAGGCCATGGAAACTGAAAGCTGTCAATCCAGGAGACATAATGGAGGAAGCATTTAATAAGTGGTTGCAGACAAAATTCCAGGAGCGAAAAGAACAGAATATAACACAAGGGTTGAGAGATTAGGGTGATGGTAAGCACAGTGACAGGTTCTAGGGAGAGTGAGAGGAGTTGATGTAGAGATGCATTCAATTTATTTTACTTCCTTCAAAACATTAACCAATTCAATTTCCATGTTCTACACCAACATAGAAGGCTAGGTCTCCTAATGTGTTCCAAAAATCCCTAAAAATAAATTTCTTTACATCTCATTTGTATAAGAACAATTTCTTAAAGGGTTTTATTAATATAATTCTTTCCTAGAATGTTACTGTTTCACATATTTAAAAAAAGAACATTTCTGTTTAGTCACACTGGCTTCAGCATTTACTTTTTTTGTAAATGCAAAATTAGTTTACACTGAAATCTTTTTACTCATTTCCATTTCTTGTAAGCATGATAGTTTATTACAATATATGTATATACTATATATATATTGTTTGTTACATGTGCAATTGAACTCTAAAACCTATTTAATGTTTATTGTTTGTAGCTTTTTTACATCTCTCTCCATCAGTATGACTCAACACACCAAGCTCCAGGAAGGTAGACAGATTCGCCTGGCTTTGAACAGATCTGAAAAGCCCCTAATCGCTAAGGCTCTGATGATGCCATTAATAATATCACTGTAGACTGCTAGAGCTGTTGGTGAGGTCACGTAACTAAAGCCCCTTCTTTCATTCTTTCATGGAGGAATAAATGAAGTCTACAGCAGTTAAGTAATTTTTGCTAAGTCGTGTAACTAACTGGTGCCAGAGCCAAACCTAAGTCTCCAGATTTCTGGCCCCATGTTCACTACACCATACTGCTTCCTAAGAAATCAGCTCAATTTAACAACTTTCACAAGTAGAAATATCAAATATAAATGGGTTACAACCCCTGCCTTCAAGAAGCCTGGAGACTTTCTGAAAAAGAAAATACACACAAAACTTAGAGCACAATACAAGACAACATTACTAAGAGAAATAAAACCAAGGGCCAAAATTTACAATACAGACTTTTAGAGCTATAGATTAGAAGAAGAGGGATTTGCGAAGAGCCTTAAGAAGGCTGGCGATTTGTAGACAGGAGAGAAGAAATGAAGGGAGAGATGGGGAGAGAAGAGGTGACAGCATGAATCAAGGCAAGAGTGAATAAAATAAATATGGGAAAATACGGAAATCAGTCTAACTAAATAAAAAACACATTTCGCTTCAACATACACAATTCTGCCCTAAGCCATCTAAAAGGAACTGAAAGGAATTCTGGAAGATTTAAGATTTCATAATGAAACTCTCACTTCATGGGAAGCCTAGACTTAAATTACAAGATAAATACATTAAATTTTCCTGAGTCCTGAAAAATTAGCAGATAGTAGACAAATTTCTGAACCCAAAGAAATATAATCATACCGAGCTTGCAAGAGTAGTCACAATCTAATCCTGTTTTGTCATCTTATGTCAAGAGATTTAACAAGTATCTCCCACGGCCAAGACACTATTCTCAATGATCAGACACTATTTCAAATGTTCTGGAATACTATCAGAATAGAACATTCACTAAGGTTCCACATAAAATTATGCTTAATGTCCCCGACAAAAATGTGAGGCAGAAGAGCTGTGTATTAAAGTTCAGATTCGCCATGTTAACAGTAGCCCAAGAGCTTGCCTCTATGGAAACCAAACACTGTTCTAAACCAAGTAATCACTGGTTTGTATTTCTAATTGTGTTCTAAAGTCCTGATTTTATTTTGACTGCAGCAACAGAAAACCTGCTATATAGATGGGAGAAGTCCGTTCCAGTCAGATCTTCCAAGTCACCTAGCTCTTACTGCTAATATACTTCCAGAGAGTGAGGTGGTTCAAAACCATAACCTGTGCTGTGACAACTGTACTCTGAACTTTTTCTGCATTTAAGTCAATACCACCATTTGCTTAAGCAATAAGGAAATCTGTCTCCACCCACAAATGTCGTAACTGTTCCTGTCACACCTGTCTATCCAGTGTGGAGGCTTTCCTAAGAATCACTCACCTGCACAGATCTGAACGTAGTAATGAAAGGCAACATGATATGATAGCCTGGTCCACTGGGGCTAGTTAGTAAAGCTCCTCCCCTGCAAAAAGATGTTTCAATTTGACAAGATTATAAAGAGAGAAATTCCCTTTCCAAATCTAAAATGCTATAATAAATATTCACTCTTACTCATGCTACTGACCTATTAAAGCCTTACTAATATGAATTACTCATGATGAACAACTGCTGGTCCCTAAAATATCTGCCAGAGCTAAGAAGGTGAAAAGTCCACATTAAACTGCTGATGTTACAGCTTGTTTCATAAGCTCTACCAACCATACCTCTGGGTCTCCCGCACTGCTCTCAGGTACAAAGGATTCTCTGGGAAGAACTTGTGGGGAAAAAAAAGTCTAATGGCTCTTAGTTGCTGTACTTTAATTGTATATGATACGAGCCAGTTCAAAACATAATACATTTCATCACCACACTGAAAAAAAAATGACAAACTTTCAAGAAAGGAGAAAACTTCTGAGGCTCAAGATTCTTTTAATCTATCTGCAAGGGAATTAAAATACTGGGGATACAAAGTCTATATCATAAACAACAAAAAAATTAGCATGGAAAGATAAAGGGTGAGGGAATACGACTATAAATAGATAGGAGGTAAGTGTGGACTTGTTCACCAAATGCTGGAATGTGAGAACTATGAAAGCACATCTTGAAAATTATAAAAAGAAGGCATTTTGGGGGCAAATATAAAAAAGCAGTCCTATTTTACATTGTGAAGAGTAACTTAGCTTTCTATCTTGAAAATATAAACAGGTTTGCAAAAAACTCATAACAAATAACAAAGAAAAGATGAACTGTTTTAGGTCCATCCCTAATTCTCTGAGAGCCATGCTTCGAAACGTTCTTTCCTTGGTTTTACTGCCAAGATGACAATGCTGAACTAGATGGAAATACGAACTAATCAGTCATCTTTTTACGCTGGACCTCCATCTGCTAAGACAAATCACTAAACTTGTATTTGAAACTAGCATTTCACAGGGAAGACTGTTTCTAAGACTAAGAATGGATCAAAAAGTAGAAATATCATTTTGGGGGGATGATGGAAACAAGAAAGAAGTTGAGGCCCTTTCAAATACACCATTATCGCAATTTCTCCAGGTTGCCCTCTGTCTATATCAAAAGGAACTGCCGGTACTATGTTGAAGGAAAAGCTATTCGAGCTCAACTAGAGAGCAACACATTCCACACCATTCCTTTCCTCAACCTGAAAGGAAAGGGTAAAGTGAGAGGAGGGTGGCCCATCATGCTGTGTTTCTCTCTCCAGGTCCAGGGAAGAGATAGGAGTATAAACAATTGTCATGGTCATCATGTTTTGGCATTATAAGCCAAAACCAGACACTAGGGGCTTTTAAAGGGGGGGAAAAATCTAAAGAACCATTACAAACGGGACCAGAGTTTCTAAACAGCATTTAAAGCTGCAAACGGAAAGCCTACACAGTTGTATGTAATACAACGATGATTTATCCGTCTCTTCAGTTACAGGTGAAGTGACCACTGCCTGCCTTCCTTCTTCCTTCCTTCATTTCTTCTACCAATAATTGCACTTACTGTCTACTAGGAATAACTGTAGGGACTCTTAACCTTGGCACAAAACGTACATAGTGCTAAAACTATCCAACACCCGGAGAGGGCTCTGCAAAAGCCTGCCTTGGCCCCCACACTCTCCCAGGGGCCGGGACGAAAATCACTTCCGAGGACTGGAGAAGGCTCTCCCGGACGCTGCAGAGGGAACCCAACTTCTTAGATGCTACTCTACGGGGAGTCCCCTGTCTACCTGCTCTAGAACCTGAGCTGACTGCACATGCTGCTCACCTGTAGTACACAGCCAGGTGTCCTTCCTCGATCTTGTGGATGGAGGCGTAGAGGAGGACAACCACCAGACCCACCACTGCAGCCACCAGAACCCGGGCTTGAGTCATATTCATCCTTGTTCCTCCTGAATGAAGGAGGAAGGGACCCCCAGGCCCGTGAGTGACAAGCCTACCCCCTCCAGTTTCCACCCTCTGCGTCGGGACAACTGGCTCCGTCCCGCAGGCCCAGCCGGGGAGTCCTGTGCCCCTTTTCCGTCATTCTTTCCTCCTTGCAGAACCCGTTTTCCCCTCGCCAACCTCTCCACCGGAGGCGGCCCAGAGGCCGCCCCTGCTCGGTGATCGTCGTGACACCCCCCTCTCCCAATGGCCGCTCCCCACCCCCCCGCCCGCGGAATGCACTAACTGAGAAGGGGGCCGGGGGCAGAGTTCGAAGGGAATCCGACCCCTTCGCGGCGCCTCACCGATCAGTGACGCATCGCCCCCGCCCGCACGTGCAGCCGCCTCCTCGGCCACGCCAACCGCCGCCAACAGCCGGCCCCGCCCACTCGCCTGGCCCTGCGGCTGCGCAGGCACGCACGCCGACGCAGTGCTCGCCCTGCGACTAAAGAGACGGGGAGCAGAGGGGACAAAATTCTCCCAGCATCCTTCCGCGCAATTTCGCTTGAAGGTACGTAGGCTCTTTTTTGTGCACTGCTGGTTTCCTGCTCCGGAAGACAAGGGAAGTTGGCAATCTGGGGCAAGAAGGGGTGCAGAGAAAGGAGAAGGCATCAGGGACAAAGAACTGGTCAGTTTGTTCTTTTGCAGAGACCCATTCCTTTACTCAGTGTGGTAGCTGTTCCGTTTATGACCTTTTGTGGTTTATACCGAACTCTATGTGGCAAGCACGTAGATCCTGTACTGACTTCAGGAGCAACCAGACTTGTTGCAAGTAAAGTGCAAGTTCAGAAAAGGAAATGCTAATCCAATGAGGGCTTTATGAAGGCCATCCAAGCAATGGGAACAGGGTCCTCTAGGAAAACAAAAACAGTGAGCATTTGAGCTTTCTTGAAGCAAGTATGATGGAAAGGAGTATGATGGTAGGCTAGGCTGGGTTCAGATTTTGAAAGACTCATATGCACTTTTTCTGCAGGGAGCGCGTACTGGATGGCTACAGAATAGAATTTTTCACTGCATATTCTTCTGTTCTTTTAAAATATCCATTATGTGCCTATGTTACCCAAAACAAAAAGGACAAAGTTGAAGATTAGAGATGGGAGGGAGATGGATAAATACAAGGGAAATAGGGCAGCATTATTAGAGCAGGTTGGGCAGTAATGGTTAGCAGTGGGAGCACAACTGGACAAGCAGGCTAGGATTTAAGGACTCTGTAACCTCTTTGTCAGGGAAATATGGGAAAGCAGTCCTTTAGGGCCAGGAGTCTGTAAAATGGCTTAGAAACACAGATTGGAGGCAGGGAAGCCAAGTGGTTAGACAACTAACTCCAAGCCTAAAGTTGCAATGGTAGTAACTAGAAATGGGAAGGGGTAAATAGAATCAACCCTTCATTATAGCAAGCCCTCCCAGACCACTCTACCTTCTCCCTTCAATAAGTACACTTATCTGTATCATTCGACTCTTATTATCTAGGAATGTCTAGGACCTTGTTGGTTCCAGATAAATGTTATTTGCAGAGCTTAGCTATTTTAACTAACAAAAAGCAAAAAGAATGAAAAATAACTTGTTCCAGTCCCTGGTTTCTCTCTGCAGAACTGTTTCTCCCACTGTCTTGATTTCTATCCTGAGAGGGGCAAGGACCCCTCCCCCTGTGCCAGTCAGTAACTGCATCACATGACTAAAAAGTTAGAAGACAACCCAAGGTTTCAAACTTAGATGACTGGGAAAATGACACTACTTGAAAAAATGGGGATGGTGTGACTAAGACATTAGTTTATAGGGCAAGATATGAGCATGGTTTTTAGACATGGATAGTGGTGACAGGACATCTCAGGCGAAAAAGACTATATTGAAGAAGCTACCCAATATTGTCTTTACTATAAGTCCTGTATAATTCCATACAGGAAAATACAGCAAGAGCCTATAATGTGATTCTCTGCTTCAATTTCACAGCATGGAAACTAAAATTTTTCCAAACTATATTCAACTACAGTTGACCCTTGAACAACACAGGTCTGAACTGTGTGGGTCCACGTATATGCATTTTTTTTTCAATAAATACAGCCCTTCTTATTCGTGGGTTTCATGTCTGCAAATTCTATGGATCAAAAACCGTATTTTCGCATTCCCAACTTCGGTTGGATGAATCCACAGATGTGAGGCGCCAACTGTACAGTCAAAAGTTGTATGTGGATTATCTATTGCATGACCCTTGTTATTCAAGGGTCAACTGGATTCATCTGATTTTAATGAATAGAGTCAAAAAGTAATTTAAAAATCATTTAATACACAAAATGAAAAACTATCTATAATACAAAAGCATTTCACATTTTTTTAAAAACAAGTATCTTCTAAATTACCTAACAGATGATAGATCCACAATCCTTAATCTGAAATTGTTAGGGCCAGATGTTTCAAAATTAGAAATTTTCAGATTTTAGAAATATAATTCAGTGCATATGCCATACTACATAAACCCCCCGCAGGGTCTGTGGCAGCACTCTCCTCCCCAAATAATCAAACATGTTAATATTTCTGCAGCAAAAATAAATGAATAGTCACACTAAATGGGATAAGTATGTTCAGTGTTACTTCAGGTTAATTTGCAAGTAAGTGAATTTTGTCACCAAGCTTATGAAAAACCTTGTTTTCAGAGCTTTTTGGAATTACAGATAAGGGCACGCAGACCTTTATAAATTTGTACAAGACATGAAAGATTCATGAAACAAATGACCCATTTTTACAAATGAAAAAAAAATAACCTTTCAAATACATTATAAATTAACAGGCATCTTCTCTTTGATATTATTAAATGTACATCTTAAATACATATACACACAGCACACTTAAGATTTAACAGTCAATTGGTATTAAAGGCACAGATACACAGTCCCTTATGTAGGAAAGGAATACTGTAAAATGTGCAGTAAAATGGAAAAGGGGATTGACCCAACTCCTTATGATGCCAGGAAGAGCACTGCCGAGTGCAACACAAGGAGGTAGGGGTTATTCAAGAAGTACAATTTTACTTGTGAGCAGTCTCTTCCACAGAAACATAGGTAGACAACTTTTATTTAGAACATGTTAGTTGAGGTTTCTTCTCTGTATATGCAGAGGGTGCCAAAAAAATGTATACACATTTTAAGAAAGGAAAAAACTATTAAATTTATAATAAATCTATACTGATAACAAAGATGAATACAAGTCACGTTTGACTTCTGCAATTAGAAGAGGTGCTCAAAGTGGTTACCATCAGCGTCCACACACTTCTGATTATGGTGAACTACTGCTTGAGCAACATTAACCAAAGTGTCCATTTGTATACATTTTTTTGGCACCTCCAGTATTCCTTTGGGCCTAATGTCCAAAAGTTAAATGTTAAAAGATATTTTTAGTCAGTTATATTTTACGAAGTTTAAAGACAAATGGATTGTAATGATAGCTAAGTAGCTGTAGTATTTAAACAAATTCTGTCTGTTCGGGGCTTAAGATTACCCAAAGTCAAAATATTGCTCTTGTAAAATTATATGTAGTTTTTGATCACAGCCATTTCTTCCACTGAATGATGTCTGAAGAGTGGTCTCATGGGAGAAAAACAAATTTCCAATACGTGCAACAACTTCCAAAGGTTTGGGACAGTGAATAAGTGGCAAGTCATTCTGTTAACCAACTCCAATCAAGATTCTAAAACCAGGCATGAAAAAGTTACAATTAGATGTTGACTATAAGTGGTAGATTTACGTGTGTTCATTTTTACAGGTTTTCTGTATGTTTGGGCATTTTATAATCAAAAGTTGAAAAAATCAAAAATATAAGTTACAATTTGAGAGTTTTGTTTACCATATTTTCTGCTAATTCAAAAAATATTTCTAAGTTTTCATAAGTATTTGAAGCAAATAATGAAAGAAGAAATATAGAGTTGACATCGAGACTAAATAATAGTAGGTTAGTTCAGTAAACATTTTATTGTAGTTTCTCCAAGTTTTAACAAATCAGTGATTCACAGTAACTAAATCTTAACATAAAAACGTATTAATTACAACTATATTAACAGTATTCATTTTGTATACAGTAGTTACTGTATTTGAATCATAATATAAATCCTGTCCCATAATATATAAATCCTGTCAAATTGATTGCTGAAGCAAAAAGGTACAAACCATTCAAATTCAGTAGTCACACTGCAAAGAAAGCTCACCACTCATTTAATTTGACCAAAAATGCTACTGTTGAAGATTATTGATGATACAATCCTAGTATATCCACAAATAAGAGAAGATGGAGATTTGAGGTCAAGGATATCCCTTGAATGCTCTTTCTCTTTCCTCTGAGTTCTTCTATTCCCCATATGCATCCCAAATATAAGGTAAGGCGAGCATGGCAAGTTAAACCCTTTGCACCCAACATACCTAAAACACAGCCATATCCATATAAAACTCACCATCATTCCACTGCTCTGTTCCTCATTTGCTTTATGAATAATAGTGCTTAAATGGCCAAGACAGTTCAAATTTTCTTCTATCATGTGTGCCAAAGTCTCCCTGTGGAATAAAAAAACGTCTTTTCAAATTCAGCAAGGGGCATGTGAACTTCCTCTACTTTTTGGTCTTCAGGGTCAGGATGATCAGAGCCTTTCCTGCAACCCAGCACCCCAATGCAGCTGATTCCTGTAGTCTCCAGTTTCCACATCCTTCCCACACAGAGGCACAGTCCTGCTTGTCACTCCAAGTGTTGCCTCTGCCCAGCTCTAATGATAAGAAGTCCATTATAACTCCAATCTGATTTTCCCCACCCCCAACCTCCAAAAATGCTAACTTGGGGGGAAAAAGATCCTTGTGGCACAGACAGATGAAAGATCTCTTTGTTTCTGGAGTACTTCCTTTTCCTTACAAGTAGTAAAAACAGCAGCATGCTTACTTCAGCGACACAAGTGCAGGGAGGATGTATAAAAGTACAATCTGTTTGCAAAGATCAGAAAAGGTGGACTCTGGTTGGAAACTACAGGTGACAGCAATGAAAAAGGAAACAAGCAAGGTGATTTCTGAGGACAGCAGAAGAAAAGAGCGTGACACAGAAGCTGCCCAGAACCAAGAAGTATCCCTGGAAGTTTGTATTGGAAGGAAATCTTGATTCTGGTTTCCTCACCTTTTACTAACACTACTAGAATCAGTTCTAGGCCATGGATGATAGCCACTATTAGCTTGGAACTAAATTCTAATTCAGCTCTTATTCAACAGATGGCAAAATTAAGGCCAACAGTTCCCGATCCGTGGTGGTTAAATACCACAGGTACATAGTAATTGAAATCAGTTTTCCTTTATAAGGTATTCCTACTGGAAAATATATTTAAAATCCCTGTCCAATACACTTATGCAAACACAGCCTCAAATTGGAAATTACCTGTATAGAGGTAACATTTGCAACCATTAGCATCCCCTAACCTAAAAGCCTTTAATGAAAGCAAAAAGGTTAGTAATGTATTAAATATTATTTAACTCTGATTAATGGAGTATTTCCTGAGGTCTGTAAAATTAATTACAGCCTGTGCTGTAGCTGTGGCTGTAGTACATCAGGCCAGATCTGAAATGACCCTTGGAACTTGCTTTCTTTAAAAAAATAAAATACCTGATATCAGCTTGCCTTCCTGCCATGTGCTTTTCTCTCATAAAAGTAGAGTGCAGAATGTGCAACCGCGTGAGCTTCTGAGCAGTGATGGAACATGGCTGCACGTCTGCAAAACTAATTATGGGCAGAGCTTCCAGGAAAATGCTGGTGCTGTAGAAGTCTCCATGAGTTGTGAGAAAAGCGACAATACACAAGCTAGCAAAGAGCCACTGGCTCTGGGTGTGGCACATCTAATGCTGAGAAAAATAATGGATAGTCATTCAGCTTTTAGCAGAAGAGTTAGTGATTAATAAAAGAAAATAAAAGGCTTCAAACTTCAGTTCTTATTTGCAACACTGATTTAAGGCACTGAAAAAAGTCTGATATTAGAAATGACTAAGTTATAAAATAGAGTAGATTCAACTGAACAATTCATTAGACGAGTGATCAAGGTCCCCAAAATGATAATGCAAAGACAGCATAATTTCTCAGAGATAAATGGTTAAGGAAGGAATAAAGTTTGGGTAAAAGAATTGATAATAACTGAGAGAGAACTTAGAACTTGGATTGAGCCAATAATAAACATTTGCTGAATATTTACTTCCCAGCACTTTATATACATCGTCTAATTCCATTTTCACAGCAGTTCCCATTGTATAGGTGAGGATATGTGAACAGTAAAAGAGTCAAATTAATTGCACAAGGTTATTACGCAGGAACACAGAGGACTCAACCCTGGTCTAAATGGCACTGAAGACTATGCCTCAACCATTCTGCTCTACTGCCTCA